TGAATGTTCAACAAATACTTATGACTGCCCTTCAGAAGCATATTGTGACAACACAGTGGGCTCATTCATCTGCAGGTGTAAACAAGGTTTCACCGGAGATGGCCGTCACTGTGAAGGTGGGTTTGGTGTCACTATTTCTTGAGTGGTGAGAGATAAATGGGAAAGGATGAAATAAAACTAGGTGCCGACTGCGTAGTTTAACCAAATAACTACTATGTGGCTATCGATCCAGTGTATGCTAGAAAATATATGTTAGTCATTATTAATTCAGTTCCGGATCCAGACCCTACATTTTGTTCGACCCTTTGGGCCTCAGTTTGGTCATGTGATTAACAAATTTTCTTGGATCGATAGATAAGGGGGAGCCCGCCCCCCCCCCGGGGGGGCCCTCCCCTGGATCCGCCGCTGTAATTGCCCTTTCCTTCCGGTTCATATGTTTATCAATTCCCGCCCTCCTTTTCCAGAAGAAGGTCGTCTGAAATATCAGCCGTCTCCAAGCCTAATCCGTGTGGGGGGGGGGCACCCCTCTGCTTCCCCCACAGTACGAGGGGTGGTGAAGGCTATGATCAGTTTTAGATTGGATAACCTCGGGGCCGAAAAAACCGCTATTTATCATCGTGTTGTAAAACATTTGCTCACTTATCAGAAATTTTAGCTACTGTTCTGAGCGGGAAACGTTAACTATGTCAACTACTGGCAAGATAATTTCTTCCGCACTGTTGGGCACTTAAGGTAATTAACAAGGATTTGATGGTATCCTTAACTGACTACTTCATCGATGGAAGCCATTGTTTAATGCAAGCCCCCATTTTCTATGCAGCGTTCGACAACTAAGGAGGATGGATTCCTCAAAATGAATGCCTTATCATGAATCCGTACACCAAAAGTCCACGATTCAGTCCAAGGTTGACCCATAGTAACAGCCCTATTATTACAGCCATTTTAGTAAATATTATCATTTGCAGATGTTGATGAATGCCTAACAGGAACACACAATTGCCATGGGAGGGCAACGTGCAACAACACTTACGGTTCGTACAACTGCACATGTCATGGAGGGTTCACAGGAAATGGTTTCAGTTGCTGGGGTGAGTCATTTCCATTGCACATCAATCCATTTCTTTGATACGGTCTAAATGGTTGAAAACATCCACTTCACACTTCCGCCTTTTCTTCTAACAATAAAAACTTCGCCAATCGCCAAATTATAGTTCTCAGTTAATACAAAGGTGATATTATTTTCGCGGAAAGGTAAAGCATATCACTTCCAACTCCTCTACGCTGTCAGCATCTAGGGTACCATACCTGAAAAATTCCTCCTGTTAGACCAAGCGAAGGTGCCTCTTGTGCCTAACTTGCCATCATGCATGGCCTTTTTGCACAGTGATGTCCCGAGTGATGGTCATAGTGGCCACAGTACTGGTAGCCTGCAATCAGGCGGTCCTCCTTCCCTTTTTTTCCGTCTGCCGACTTTCGCACTATCCCCCCAAAAAGAACGCCTGATCGCAGGTTACAGTACTGATCCTTAGCATTATGAATGATGCTGCTGCTGTTTTCGTTTTTTTTTTTCTTTTCCTGCTATCTAAATTTAGCCAAGGTTAAAGGCAAAGCTCCAGTTAATATAGTTTTTGTTTCCTTAAATTTAGCCAAGGTTAAAGGCGAAGCTCCAGTTAATATAGTTTTTGTTTCCTTAAAGCAATAAACTTGTAACCATTGCAAAGAAATCCATTTAAAGTTGAGCCTGCGAACAATAGAAAACTAGTAGTTTGTCGGAGAAGTGGTCATATGATACTGGTCAACAGATAGCCTGTTTTGAGAGCTGTCAATTGACCACAACGTATGGAGTGTTTTCACATGACGTCATGGCGGCCATATTGGTGTCCCAAAACAATGAAACGGCGGCCATGTTGGTGTCCCAAACGGGTCCTGTGGGAGTTGAACTCTTTTCTTATGCAAACGCTTTCTTTTGTTCCAATAAATTTGCATAGATGCTGGCCACGTGAGTGAAAACACTCTATATTTGAAATATCAAGTTGCAGGTACTCGCACTAGCTAGAAAATGTGATATTTTACATTGGTTACCCTATGGTGCGGACTGGCGGACGGGGGACGCAACGTCACGTGATTAACAAATTTTCTTGGATTCAAAGATAACAAAATTATCTTAGTTATGACGTGATGTGTGGCGAACAACTGAAGAGGTCATAAGAGCCTAGGCAAATTTGTGTGTTCAAAGTGAATCCCGATTAGATTTTTCTTGATCCTAATTTTACTTTTTACAGCCAATTTATTAAATCTGGTGGGTATGTCCGGGGTCTGATTTTTCTTTAATCAGCAGGTTTGTTACACCCTAGATATAAACGAGTGCTCGCAACAGATGCACAACTGTACTTCTGAAGGGTCGAGGTGCTCTAACAAATACGGAACATACAAATGCGTTTGTCGTACCGGATATTCAGGAGATGGCAAAGTTTGCGTTGGTGAGCGAAACTATAATTTTGAGTTAACTGCAGTCAATTTGATTCTTAAATACTTTCCTGTTTATATTGGCATCAAATGTTTAATCATGGTATCTTGTAGTTAAAGTCGAGAAAACAAGCTCACCCCTGATTATTTGACGGTAATACAGAAAGGTTAAACTGTACTGTGACCTTAGCCTGCGTTGAAGGCGCAAAAAGGGAGTGCAGAGGGGGGGGAGCGAAAAAGAGGAATCCCCTCTCCCTCCTCCCTCCTTTTCCTTCCCTTTTCGATGCCTTCTACGGAGGCTACGTGTCCTAAATTATGCAGGTCAAAATTTGCTATAAAAAATTTTCGCCGAAACATGAAGGAAGATGGTGGGACATAAGTTCATCAGGATGAAATATGTTTTGAACTTGAAAAGATGCCGACAAATTTGTTTGTTTTGGGAAAATAAGATATAATATATCAAGCCAATTTGACAGAAATTGTCAGCTGACGTCATATAAAATAAATGTATGTGTTGTGGGTCAATTTTATCCTTGGTTTAATTTTTTTTTTGTTTCAAACTCATTATCATATATTGCCATACCCAAAAACAAAAGAAGATAACATTTAAACCAAGGATAGAATTGAACTACAACATAAATAAAACCATGTGACGTCATATTTTGCAGACATAGACGAATGCTCCTTGAATGTCAGCTATTGCGGCCAGTTTGCGAATTGTACAAACACAATTGGATCTTTTGACTGTTCATGTTTACAAGGTTACGAAGGAAATGGTACATTCTGTGATGGTAAGCCATGTATTATCTAGTCCAGTTACAGATTTAATTAATGTGGCAATGTAACAGGTCTCTGCGTTCGCGCGTAGACATGTTTGGGCCACTGCTTACAGTCACTTAGAAATAAAATTAGCCCATAAAATACCCAAAAACAGAGCCACAGTGGCACCTACGACTCTGATTTCAATCACTTTGGAGAGTGTTCAAGAAACACCACACGGGCAGTTCAGCGTTTCTTCCTAGTAAATTCTTACGCTAGCATTCATTATAGCAACGTTTTTGAGAATAAATAAGAAAAAGATTAAACTATTGACAAAACAAATTAGGTATATTCTCTGCTAATTTACACTAAATTTTAAGTATAATTTATTTGATTTAGCACTACATTGAAGAGTTGGTTAGCATTTTTGTCTTCTTTATATTTCTTTTGCCTTCAGAGTTGTTAGCAAGCCATTAGAGTCAAAGTTTTTGAAGTTTGAAGAGAAACAGCTTTTATTGATGGAACCTCCAACAATAACTAATCTTGGCACTTCCAAGCAATTAATTTACACACCGGAGACTTTAGGTCGCCTGTTTTTTTTGCCTAATGTTTTCTTCCTGCAACTTAACAGAAATCGATGAATGTGCAACGGCGACCCACAACTGTCATGGAGTGGCTCATTGTTACAATAGTCCAGGCTCCTTTATATGTCGCTGTCGAGAAGGTTACACTGGAGACGGGTTGACCTGTGAACCAATAGGCAAGTGTTAAATATAGAATACTTCATGGAAAATGCTCGTGCACGGTGTATACGCACGATTTCTTTGATTGGACGCATCATTTTCCTCACATGTGAAAACAAAACATTCACGATTCTGAGCGGACGTATCTTTTTTTTCAAGTGTGAAAAACATCGTTTGGTTGATTGGCTAGAACTCATTTGCATATGAAAATTTACTGCATACCTTTTCAGTGACTATATGACTTTAGTAAAATCCAACTAGTGGTCTATTATCAATGCGTTCTGATTGGTTGAGCTACTACTAGGCTACATGTTATAGCCCACTAGTAGCGAGAAGCGCCGGTTTTGACAACCAAAACAATAACCGCTGAAAAACGTTTTGCTAGCTAAAGTTGTTTTCTCTCGATATTTTTGACAAACTGGTTGGATTTTACTAAAACAATTATTCCTCTCGCCCTCATGGCCTCTGAGTCAATAGCCCATGAGGCCGAAGGCCGAATGGACCATTGACTCAGAGCCCATTCGGGCTTGAGGAATAATTGTTAAGTTTATCTTGGTATGTATATAATAAATCCAAACTTTGAGGTTATTATTTTTTACAGGCATTCGTTCTCGAACTCAAAAAATGTAAAATAGAACAAGTAGATCGTGCTTCCCTGCAAATGCATTTGCGTTAACCCTTTAAACCTCAACATCCACATGCAAATTCTCCAAACTGATCTCTATACATTTCCTTTAAGAATAAGTTGAGAAAATGTGGCTATTATTTCTCTGATCAATTCTCGATGAACAGGACAACGCTTAATATTGTTCTTGATCACAAGTTCTGAAAACTCTTCCGTTAGTTATAGTTTTTCAATTGTACGAATTTATGATAAATACCCCTTCACCAGAGAAAGATTGTTTTATGGTTATTAATATAAGCGCTGTACAATTTTCAACAGGACAGTTTTCAGTGATAATTAGAAACATCTCCAAAGACAAAAATTATCCTACTACAATCAATCGGGCTGCCAAGAGCGTCCAAGAAGCCATGATTCAAGGTTTACCTAAAGGCGTTTCTATTTTGGAAAGCGCATTGCAATGGCGTCTTCTAAGCGAAGCAGAACTGGTAGCTTCGGAGTCAGTAGAGGGAACCTTAGTAAGTCAAGGAAGCGCTGAATGGACCATAAATAGAAGACTCATACCCTCTGGTATCTATCAAATCAAATTCACTGCATCAGTCAAGATTGGTGATCCAGCCGCCCCGCAGACTCTCCAGGCGTTTGATTATGGTTTCATTGAAAGCATCCCTGGTCCAATACTTGCAATAATTGACGGTGGGAGCAGAGTTCGATGGGGGTCACCAGAAAATGTTACAGTGGATGGTTCGCTCAGTTACGATGGAGATATTGGTCCTGGAACCCATACTGGCCTTAATTTTACTTGGTCTTGTTCATTGAATAATTCAATCAGCTATAGCTGCTTCGGTGCATTTGCGAACGAAAACGCCAATGCCACAGGCATAATTATCAATACAGAAACACTCTTAGCTGGAAATGCTTACGTTCTAAAGTTGACTGTTTCCAAAGATACAAGACGTGCTTTTGCTGAAATGAAATTTGAAATAGCCGCCAAGGTAGTACCGCAAGTGGTGCTAAGGTAAGAGTTGTAAGTAGGGAATACTCTGAAAACTAGTATACAGCACAATATAGAGTGAGGCAATGGCGGATCCAAAGGAGGGGCCCGCAGGGCCCGGGCACCCCTCTTATTTTTGGCCCCAGCTGAGGCCCGATCCGTGGCCCCTTATCTCAGGGATTGGATGACCGCCACCCACTTTCTATGAAGTAATCGCTATATTCTTTTCATCTCCAGATGCTTTATTGATTGCGGTAAAGTAGTGTCTGCTACAAGCAAGCTCCGCGTGACTTCGGAATGTCCCAATTCAGCATGCAATAGTTCAGTTTACGAGTGGCGTCTTAAGCAAAGAAAGGAGGCAGATCGGTGGGAGAATATACCTATTTTGCCTAATATGACATCCACTGTGGTAAATGCCACTAACATGATCATCAAGAAAAATTCTTTGCCCTCTGGTTTCTACTTCAGTTTACAACTCTTCGTAACATCTCAAGCAGGGTCGGAAGGGTTTGGAGTCCTGGAGTTCGAGACCGCCGGAGCTCCACACGGTGGGTTTTGCGCGAAGTCAATCAACGAGGGTGTGGCGCTTGAGACGGAGTTTACGTTTGAATGCTTTGAATGGGAAGACAAAAATGCTCCAATAACTTACGAATTCCGTGTTGAAAAGGACATGATATCGTATGGAAGGTCTCCTAAGTCTAGACCTACAGTGTTAGCTGCCGGACAACAAGAAAGTGATTATCAGCTACAAATAAACATCATTATAAAGAACTCCATTGGTGTAGCGGTTGAGGAAAAGGCATTTGTTAAGGTAACGTTTAGATTTCAAACTGAAGCGTATACCTTCGCGTATACTGCTTGAAAGAAAAAATGACATCAGAATATTACGTTATTCTAGTCCCATACTTTTTTGTGGATAATCGATTTGAAAAATACGCTGCAGAAAAAGGTTTGCAAGTAGGGAGGTAAACGTGTGATTTAAATTCCCATGGCACCTTTCCTCCATGATTGATTTCTATAGCGGAGCACTATGAGTAAGAAAAACTGGCAACCTGTCTTTGCGGGATGTTTTGATCCTGACATTAGCGTACTTCCTTACGTACATGTATACATACGCCCGTACAGTCTTTAAGGGAGAGAAAAGCGAGTCCCAGATATACAGCTTACGAAAGGTGTTTTTGTTTTTTAATAAGGTCATGAGATCTTCCAAGTTTGACCTATGTTTCACTCCACCAGAAGAAGTAGGCGAGCAGTTAAAACGCCTTGTAGTCTGGGAGGGATGTAAGCTAGACGGACTTCTGAATAAAGGTGAAATCAACCAGGGAGCACAGCTGGCGCTGTCGGTACTTAAAACTGCCAAGGCAAAGTCAGTTTGCGGACAGGAGTTAAGTTTGATTACAATAACACAGGTTAGTACATTTAAATTTACTAAGCAATTTCATTTTAAGGAGGACTTCTTGTTGAAACTTCATTCAACTCGGACTCCAACATTGTTGGATGCTTATCTCAGTAAGTTCTTGGGATGCGGATCGGGATTCAATGGCTACCCTTTTTCCGAGACCGAGAAATTTGCACTGTCTTCTTGCACTCTTACGATGAAAGCTTAGTTGAAGAGAAAGCGACCCCGAATGCAAGACTATCTTTAGCGCACTTAATGGATGTTAATAAAGTGTTTCTTGGTACCTCATGGGCATCTGGTGCTGAATCTGACTCAGAAAACCAACAGATTACCAATACTATTCATGACTGCTCGCCAAAAATGATGACAGAACGTCATTGGTTCGGGTTCTATAATGGCTATCATAACACTGCTTTTATTGATCTACATAGATATCAGACACCATCACCGAGAAGTTCTCAGCAATAAAACCAGCGAGTGGCAAGATGTCTGATGTCATATTAGGTGTAATTAATGAGGCAACTGTGGAAGGAGGAGATGGAGCCAAAGCTTTGGTACCACACATTTCTTCTTATATATCTATCGGCCAATCCATCTGCCTTAGGTCCTGACCTCCATACGTTACTTTGTCTTCTATGTGTCCCCTACTTATACTGTTGTCCAGTTTTCATTCCTTTACTCGTTCTACGATTGACGGTATGTTCCTGTCTTTCTTTTCGCCAGATATTTTTTCTGTCCTCCATTATTTACTCAGATGAGATATAACGCTTACAATTTAATGAAATAAAAAGAAAAAAAAAATATATATATATATATAATTTTTTTTTTTTTAGTGGAATAAAGAACGAAAGAGACAAATCAGTTTATTAGCGTAATGGCTTGCACCATACTTTTCATACTGACCGGCTGAAGCAGATTGGCGGCTCTCATGGAAAAAATTTTACCAATCTGTTGAGGAATGCCAAAAATCACGATACAGAGGACCAATCAGCAAATAATCTGTCCTCCTCCCTCTTTTCCGTATTGTATTGTATTCACGTGGCAATTGAGGTTGCCGCATGGTGTTATACAGCTGCACATGTTAGTGATAAAAAGAAGCAAGAAAATTAAAGAGATGTCTAAATAATTAACCAGTATTTGTTTGGAGTTAAGGAACGTTGGAAAACCCATCGCTGTCAAAAAATGAACAAGATTATCAATTTGTTGTAGGAAATGGCACTTAAAATGTCCGAAAGTGCAACATCAACACTTGCCAATGCCTTGAACGACCCAGAGGAACCTTTCACTCCTGAATTAGAGGAAAGAGCCACAAGTGTCGCAAGTTGCTTGAGGAACGTTATGAAAGGAGCAAGTCAAGATGCTCGATCGACTTCGGGGGATTCCTCGTCTTCAAAGGTAGAAAAATATGGCTAACTCTGTTTGATCTTACGTGCAACGATTTTAAAGGGACAGTCAGAATAGGATACTTTTAAGGTCCGGGATTGACCTTCGGACCCGGAAGCCTGTTTCATATCAGTTTTCTTTTCTGACCAAGTATTAGCTGGCATGGCACCATGAAAACGCACCAAATCGTTATGCACCATACTGCCATTGTACTTGTTCACCTCGTTGGTTGTTCCTGGTCGAGGTTTAATCCACATTGAGCCCATTTCCCCAAATTCCCGATAATTACCTTGCCCGGAAAGCTGCTATGTCAAGACCCAAATCTCACTAGTTTTGCAAATACATGATTAAGTTCTCAATGATGTTTGCTAATATATCACTCCGGACCCGAAAGTTACAGGACTTTCGAGAAAGGGACAATGCTCCATTGTTAATCACTCCCCTAAAGAAGTCACTCACTATTCCAGCCCTTCCCCCGTCAGTTGTGAGATATATACGCTGGGATATACGCTCGGATTTACGCTAAGTTGTACGCAGAGAATTGTCTGAAAACTGGTATTTATCAACTTCTTTCAACTTCTATATGTAGAATAACGTCGAACAAGCTTCTCAAAACCTGCAAAACATGAGTGATGCGTTTTTTGGTCGCTTGGTGCGGTCAGAAAATTTAGTAATTAAAACAGATGATCTCGCGCTAGCTCTAAAGAAGGTCTCCTCTGATGATGTTAAGGGTCTAAGTACGGAAGAAGGACCAACAAAGTTTGAGTTGCCCGGAAATCTTGGAAATTTGGGTGCTGGGGACATCAATGCAAAGGTAATAAGGCAGATAAGAGCCACTTAAAAGAAGTGTTGTCCTTTTGCATACTCTAGGACCCTTGCCACTTTCATATGTTTGTATTTGTTTTGGTCATATTTAGCTCAATGTCAAAATATGAGAGAAACAGCCTTGATCTTCTTAGTTATTCTTAATATTTCTACACTTCTGACTGGCCAAGGCTAATTATTCGTAATGGTCTATCGCTATTCCAATTAGGTAGCCAATTTTTGGTGCTCTCAAATTTTTGGCTCTTTCATGACAATGTTCTTTTGAAACTAACCCCTTCATTCTTGTTACAATTGCAGATGACGGCTGTTAAATTTAACCCTTATACCTGGAACAATAGCAGCAAGGCCATCCAATCAAATGTTATCGGCCTCGAGTTACAAAATGGCAACACGAAGATCAATGTGTCGAACCTTGATGATGACATTGTGATGGTCATTCCAATAAGCAGCCCAGCCGAGCAAAATACAAATACTAGTAGTCCAACAGAACATTCTTTTCTTAAGCCAGACAAAATGTCAATCCGTTCTTATAACGCACAACTGGCAGAGGTCCCCGTTTCAATTAATATGGCTGTGGTGGAAAAGGGTTTATTTCTTGTTAAAGTCTTTGTGAAATTTGGATCCAGACCCACAATAGACAGCTTTGACCACAACTTTACAAACCCGTTCACATCATCGTGTGGAAACCAGACAAGCGGCATGCAGAACCTTTCATCCTGCCTTCCTGATGAGTTCTCCATGACAGTGGTGCCACCAAGTGCAGGTCCTCTTTATGCTGGAATACTTTTAGTAGGAAATAAAAACACTAACGAAAACCCCAGACAAAAGAGATCATGCTTCGGCCAGGGCCGACAAAAGCGGGCCTGTGTTGGTTTTAAAGATCCACCACCAAAAGGAGTCACCAGAACAGTTATTCCACAGTACGACTCATCTACAGATGTAAATTATACAATGACCATTACCCAGTCCAGTTGTTTGTATTGGTCGGAAGAGAAAGACAAGTGGGAGTCAGAAGGTTGCAAGGTACTTTACCGGATAATAAGTAGACGCTATCTTTGTACCACATTGCAGACATAAAAAAAATCTATTTTGTTAAAGTTTGCCAAATGGAAACTTCTGTCCAGTATCTATGATGGTTAGACTGGCTCCCGTTGTTCACTAATATACATAACAGTAATTACGTCGACCTTTCAGGGCATAAAGAAAAATCAAGATGACAGTGTTTTAAACATGGTAAAGAATTGAACTGATTTAACAAATTAGCTTGTCGATAAAACTAAAAAAGGTACCGTAAATCATCTAATAAACGCCCCGGGTGGGAGGCGTTTATTCTTGTAACTTATTTTAACAAACTCAACAAAATTGCATACAGTATGCTTTCGGCCAAAAACGTTTTTGTGTTAACAGTATCTCAGAATCTCGGCTTATCCTTACTTTGAGCTTGAAATTGAACATGACATAATGCACAAACCGATGTTAATCAAGAAATGAAATTAATAAATTGATTGACTTTGCTCTATTTATATTTCGGCATTTCTTAGTATATTGGAGCAATTTTTATGGAGGTGTTTTTTACAGAGGGGCCTTTAATACAAACTTAAAAGCGCAAATCCTATAAAATTACATCATCGTCCTAGGAAACATTATCATTCTATAAGACAACATCATTAGAAACTTTAAAAAGCCAAGTCTTAAGCTTAGATTTAAAAGAAGAAAGGGAATCGCAAGATCTAAGCTCGAATTCAAGTGTACTCCAAACATAGAGTGCTGCAATAGTAAATGACCGGCCACCGGAAGTCTACCAGGTGTATAACACTTGATAAGATCAGTGATATAGTTAGGTGCAGCACCTTGAAGAGCTTTAAATGTAATCACACAATTTTGAAAGTTAGCTTATGATCAATAGGTAACAAATGAAGCAAGGTAAGCAACGGCTTGATATGTTTGTGTCTACTAGTAAGGTGAATAAGGATAGCAGCACTATTCAGGACACTCTGCAAACGTCTTAAGATACATTTTGGTTGACCGTAGAGCAACGAGTTACAATAGTTGATCCTTGCAGTAGAAAAGGCATGAATTAGAGTTTTGCTTGTATCGTGAGAAATAATATTGCAAATCTTAAAAATATTGCGTAGATGAAAAAAAGAAGACTTTCATACAGCAGTAACGTGCGGTACCATCGATAGAGAGTTATTAAAAATAACCCCCATACTTTTAGCGATACTTGAACAGTCAACAATGTCAGGAGCAATCATCAGGTTTTTTAGCTACGGACGTGGGCGATAGAAGGATGAAAACACTATACTGGTTTCTTTCTTCCCACTGTTCAGTTCCAGTTTATTTTCTAGGGTTTGTAACTAACATAAAATGGATGTCTTCTTTAGGTTGCACCTGAGTCAAACTCCACTCACCTTGTGTGCCGTTGTAATCATCTGACGTCCTTTGGTGGGAACTTCATACAAGCACCGAATCCAATCGACTTCGACAAAGTTTTTACTGAGTTTGCAAATCTTGCTGAGAGTGGCAACATTTCCGTGCTTGTGACCATTGCTTGCGCTTTTCTTATTTATTTCGTCGTGATTGTTTTTGCGAGAAGAGCGGACAGAAGAGATGAAAACAAGGTTAGTATAAGTAGGGTATGAAAGTAACCGTGACGTCTCCAACCAAAACGATTTTTGTACGAACACTCGAAGTGGTGATGGGTGATGGAATAGTTTCTGCTATTATACTCTGTTATAGCTATGAGCATTCAACTCGTAGGTTCTGTGTACCCAAACTAATAATCTGAGTGGCCAAAGATTGCCTAAGATGATCAAGGGCGTACTTAAACTCGCCGGCTTTTGAGAATATTCGCCATTCATAATAGTTAGTTAAGATGTTATAATTGACAGCCAAAGTCCATGTAAAAAAAATGATACATATCTGTGATGAATGCAGTCTAACCTTACGTTCATAGGGTACCTTTCGCTACGTTGTTTTAAAAAAAAGCAAAGAATAATGATTATAGGCCCTAAATATACACAATTGCGGCTTCAAGAAACATTCTGGAATTTTGAGTTTCTGAGTAAGTAGGCTATTTTTAGTCTACTTATTCTGATTTTAACCAGGGACTGCATTTAAGAATATTATTAATATTTTTGTTGTGGCAGATGTATCCTCCCAGGCATATAACCATTGTAGACGAAGGAAGCTATTATTATGATACAGTCATCTGCACGGGTGTTTGGAAGGATTCAGGAACAACAGCTAACGTGCTACTCACCATTAAGGGTGAGAGAAATGAACATAATCAGGTTGCACTGCGAAGTAAAGGAGATTCATGTGACACCTTTTCACGAGGAAGCATAAATGGATTTGTTCTGATAACCAAAGAATCACTAGGAGCTTTGAAAGAAATAACTCTGGAACACGATAACGCAGGAGAAAATCCTTCCTGGTTCGTGGAAACGGTGACAATCAGAGACAGGCAGACAGAAGAACAATGGACGTTTCCGATAAATCGGTGGCTTGCGGTGGAGAGGGAAGACGGCCTTATCGAAGTAACAGTTGACGACCAAAGCGTCACGTCCTTTACAAATCAGGTTCGTTTTCGCTTCGGACGAAAAATTGCAGACAGTCACTTGTGGATATCTGTATTTGGTAAGGCATCCAGCAGCACTTTTACTCGTGTACAAAGAGCATCATGCTGTCTGTCTGTTCTCTTCAGCGCAATGATTGCCAATGCCATGTTTTATAACATTGGTGGAGAATCAGAGGGAGCCATCCAGGTTGGACCGTTTAAATTTTCTTTGAGACAAATAATAGTTGGCGTCCAAAGTGGACTTATCGTTGCACCTGTCAACGTTTTAATTGTTTTTATGTTCAAGTCCAGCAAACCAAGATCTAAAAAGGGAGACAAATATAAAGAAATAGATCAAGCTCAACAGCTGGTTGACAAAGTGAGGGATACTGGCTGTATGCTGCCCCACGTTTGTGTTTACATTGCCTGGTTTCTCTGCTTTACAACGACGCTTGCAGCAGCAACCTTCACGTTATTTTACAGTTTAATGTGGGGTAAAGAAGTTGCGGAACAGTGGTTGTCCTCGATCTTGATATCAAATGGACAAGACATTTTTGTTGTTCAACCAACAAAAGTAATGCTAGCTGTTGTTTTGATTTCATTGCTGATGACCAAAACTCAAAAGAATAATAGCCAAGATTCAAATGATGATAGAGACAGTGTCTCCTGTGAAATCGATTTGCTAAGTGATAACCCTAAAGAGCGTTTTAAGCGATCGAGATTGGAAGCCATTCGTGAGCGAACTAAAAAGGAGGTGAAGCTGGCAGGAATGACGAAGGAGATTGTCGTCCATTTAATTTTTGTCTTCTTCTTGGTGGTAGTATGCTATGGAAACAAGACACAGTATCGTATTATGATGACAACGACACTGCTTGATCCATTTGCTAAATTTGACCTGGTAAGGAAGTATTTTTATATATAATAACCTGCCAACATCCCTGACTGGGCCTCCATGATTATCAGCACAAAATGCCTTAAATGTGGCACTAAATTTGAGACTACAATCGGTGAAGAAATTAGTTGAAACACCTCGCCCTAAAGGGCCTTTCTAACGTTTTGCTAACTTAAAAAATCGAAAGTAAAGCTTACCCTCCCTCGTATCCTCCATCCAATATTTTGCCGCTGTTCAAGCTACCTGTAGAAAACAACAAAAAACCCCAACTTTGTATGGAGGGGCGGAGGAGGAGGTGTGGATTGTTTTGTTCTGCGAAGTTGCCCCAGTTGAGGACAATGTCTCAACGACTTTGTCGCCAATTGCAAATATATCAAATTTATCGATAAGTATGCAGCTGAGAAACTTGCTCAAAAGACTGATGGATTTAAGCGTACACGCTTCAAACGCTTTAACGATGAGCTTTGTACAGTTTCATTAACAAAGAGTAAGAATGAACCCTTAATTTTTTATATTTCTTACCCGCCAATGTGTCGTTATCCATCATGACTATCGTTCGCGGATTTTTTTTTTCAGGTAACAGGCAGTCAAAAACTGGATGGTTGGCTAAGGCAAGAGTTTCTCCCAAATATTTATCACCGATCATGGTACAATGGACTTCAGGATGAAGACATATACATTGGGAACAAGATATCCATACTGATTGGCATGCCGTGGATGAGACAATTGAGGATTAAAAGAGGCAAGTGAGTTGCAGCAAGCTATTACCATGCATCATGAACGAAACAATCGACAACAAAATCAAATTCACTTAACCTAGTAGTTCAGTTTATACGAAGGAATACACTTGCCCACATGTAGCCGGTGAAAAGCTGATACGCCAATCAACCTCAAAGCCTGAACAATGACAGTGTTCTTTTTGTACCACTGAATATCTATTGTTGACATTACGGCTGTTATGGTGATGTACGCGGAGATGTCCAGTTATCGTCGCTCATGTAGTACCTTCCGGAAGGATCTCCATATATAAAATTTTCTCAATTCTATCGAAAGGTGGCTCACTAGCACCATCAACACCCAGCAAATTTAATGCTTTTCAGTTTGCGACTGCTTAAAAGGAGTCGTTTATAATATCGAAGAATTCTCTTTTTTTTCCTTATATATTTTCAATTCTTCATTCATCAAAGATGCTCCTTTTAACAATAAAATGTCAGAATCAAAAAGCTCAATGCAACTGTTATGTTTTTTCTCAGATTCTTGTAAGTCCCTTCCTGAACTTATCCAAGACTGCTATCACGACTACTCCAGAAAACACGAAGAAACCACGCCCCTGCGTCTTCCAGGCTGGAAACCACTTCCTCACAATACGTCATGGCCCGAGGCTCTAAACCTTTGCCCAAAACCTTGGCGTTACCAAACAAGTGAAGAACTGGATAATAATCCCATTAAAGCTACCTACAACACTTATGAAGGAGGTGGTTATGTCGCCGTTTTGGGATATGACGAAGCAACTGCCCAAGGTGTCCTGGGGGAAACTATCGGTCATGGATGGGTTGACCGCCAAACACGAGCAGTGATCCTGGAGTTCGCGGTGTTCAACGTGAACACGAACCTCCTCAGTATCGCCACGTATTTTTACGAGGTTATCGCCACCGGTGCCGCCTACACTACTAGAAGGGTTGACACAGTCGAGTTGTACACAACAGAGTCTGGCGCTCTGCTGTTCTACCTAATTTGCCAATTTCTTTTCATGGCCATGGCACTTTATTACTTTATCTTAATGATAGTCCATCTTTACCGACAACGACTTGGATTTTTCAAATCAGTTTGGAATATGGTTGATTTCTTAATGATCATTTCCTCTGTAGCGTCAGTGGCGTTTTATATGATTCGATCCAAGACTGTTTTAAAGAGCATCAAAGCCATTCAGAATAATCCCTATGAAATTGTACATTTTCATGCTGCTCTTGATTGGGCCAACTGGGAAAACATTGCAACTGCTTTTGCTCTTTTTATGGTTACGGTTAAGATGCTGAACCTGATCCGTTTTAACCCCTATGTCATATACTTATTTTCATCTTTCCGCCAGTCTATTGGCTACCAGTTGTCCTACGTGGGTTTCTTCGTGATCATCTTTAACGCTTTCGTAATATCGGGAATGAGGTTTTTCGGCCGTACAGTGGAAGAGTATTCCAGCTACATCAATTCCGTAATGTCTCAGTTTGAGTTTCTTCTGGGAAAGGCTGTCCCACTGAGTGGCCTTCGAAGAGAGAATCCATTTTTGGGGCCTACGTTCGCTTTCATGTACATGTTAATGATGACTGTATTCCTTATGAATATGCTAGTGTCTGTTCTTAACGAGTCCTACTCTGACGCAAAAGCAAACGCAGAAGAGAGTGCGGAAGAACTTGAGATGGCACGCTTTATTGGGGAGAGATTTATAGAAGTTTTTAAGGGAAACAAAAAGCGGCCCGAATTCAAGTTATACTGTGATGAAGCAACATTTGTCAATATGTGTCAATCGGAAGCGGAACCCTTTTGTTTAAATTCTGAAAGTATCATTAAGTGTACTGAAGAGAGGCTGGAAAAGGTTGAGAAAAGACTCTTTGTTCTATCTCGACGTGCAGAAAAGATGAATACTTCTTATGAGCAGGAGGAAACGGACTTCCTCGACCTCCTCCAAACAATGGCGAATCTTAGGACGGGTAAAACCAGTCACATATAATTTTAAAAGAAAGAGAAACACTGAACTTTTAATTTTAATTTAATCTTAACTCTCATTATACCTGCTAACGTAAAGGGGCCATGTCACAAGGGTGTTGCCGTTGTAGGTCAATTAAGGTGCTCAGGTCATTAATCAGTGCCTTTACAATACACAAAATGCTCTCTTAGAGATATGAAAGATATCAAACAAATTTTACCATGGAGCACTAACTATAATATTTTTTGATTTTTGTAAGCATGGCATTAAAACTTGAAAAGGTTGGCCAAAATTTTTCAAGTTTCAAGATTCAGTGCCTAAATATAGTCTTGAATAACAAAACTATACAATCATTGTCGGAATGCAATTGATGCAAAGGCACGTTTTAGCTTTTTAAAGAAAGCAAATAGCGTCACAAAGCCCCATTAATCACCATATTCCAACTTTATTTAGTTATCACCCGCGCTACATCATGTAGTTAATACCCTGTCCGTTATCATGTTCATTGACTGCCTCTGTCACAGGCAGACAAACCTGTTTCTAGTTGAACTTGAAGAGCAGCAACTTCTTCTCTATCAATGAAAGAAAAGATTGCTGTTCTTTAGGCCTATGCACTGCTGAACCCATAAGAGAGTGGAGAATTATCGTTCTAGTCCTATCGGATAGAAAGACTGGTAAGAATTAGAAATAGAGAGGTTAAGGAGCACGGCCCTGAATTGAAATTTGCAAAGTGCAACCACTGAAATCTGCAGAGCTCTGTTACTACGCCAATCAGCTGTTTTCCGTAGAAAAAAAAAATAAAGCCTAACGTTTTCGAAAGCATACGTCTCTCTGAAAATTTTTTTAACCATTGAGGGTATTCCAGCACCCAGGAAAAGTGAAAGACTGTTGCATTATTTAACTCTTATAATGGTTACAATTTGTGTAGCCTCTGTCCGATGCCCAAACTCCTAGCTCGTGCTGAAAATTATCAGCGTTTTCGCTGCTCCAAGGAACGCCCTAGCAAATAGCCAGGTTACCGTCTGTACTCTTGGAATTTTTGTACTCCGTTAGTACTTTAAGTCATAAACTTAACTTTAGTCTTGTGTTCTCGGAAAGAGTAGCGACCGTTATACACGCAACAACTTGCCAAATCTCTGTACGGCGCCTTCTCAGGCCTTCTTGGTCGATGCATTTCGCTGATGTATCCGAGACAGCCGGGACAAAAAAACTCGCTTGGGCCACGTGACCCGAAACGCAGAGGCCTAGGGACTATGGCAAAGTAACAACGACGACGACGTCAGCCAGAAAGGCACGTTAGTGTGGAATACGAGTAGGAATTAATGGCCGCCTTTCCATGACGAAAATTCCGGTTAGAAATTTCCGAAAATTCCACGAGCCCAGTGGAGCGGTACATACCGGTTGCACAGAACCCCACCCAGGCCACCGCACGTTTGGCAATTGTATACTTGTAGACGGGATATAAAAGAGCGGTATTGGGGACAACAATTTAATCAAATGGAAAGGAATATTTCCGTCGGACCGACCGAAATGACCGCACGGACAAAATATTCCGGACGGACCCAATCGAAATGGTCCGTTCCATTTGATTTCTAACCAAAATTTTTTGAAATTTTAGGTAGGCTGAGTTGCAAGCGCCCAGAATCTCTGCTCCGCGTTTCACACTTTGTCATATTTCTCTATGTAATCTTCTTTAAGACAACCACCAAAAACAATCGGTTTTAGGAAAGGTTCGTGTCAAACGCGCATCTGTGACCGTTGATCTTTCTTTATCTCCTCAACTGGTGTAAAGCGAATTCAACTAGTCAATTATTCAGTCACAGAAGACAAATTTAATTTGTAAAGATTATTTTAAATCCAGCTGAAAATCGGAGTTTTTTTAACGAAGTCTTTTTTGGTGTTATTATCGTGTTTGTTCTTGATATTAGGGAGCTTTGGCAAAGACGTTTTTCAGCGACGCACATCAAACGGAAGTGGACTTTTTGCATTCTTGGGGAGTGGTTTTGTTAAATGTTCGAGAAAATTGTCTCTTTAAGAGTAAAGGCACCCAGCAATGCGAATAAGTCATTTCCGAGTTCCAAAAACTCTCTCTTTCTACGAGGTCAAGTGCACAACTTTTGTTGTGAAAATGAGTTTTATTTGCATAAGAATAAAAATCATTTCCAAATCAATGGCTTTGCACTTAGCCTCGCTTTCAATCAGAGGCTTGAAGCAACTCGGAAATGGCCTATCTGGTACCGTCAAGGCACATTAAAAGGAAAAAGGCCGTACTTCCAGATGGCTTTCTTCGCACTCAAAAACACCTTTGCTTAAGTTCCTTATTATAGTTTCCCGCTTGTCATGACATAACTATCGTTTCTGCTTACTTTTAGTTTGCAAACCACGTCGGTATACTGCGTGATCCTGATTTAGTTACATCTCTCATTTCTGATATATAATATAAAATGTCTACCTGGCAAGAGGTGGGGGGGGGGAATCTGTTGGGAAATTTTTCCTTTGTGATGAAATCTGAAAGTTCGCGCTGATAAATTCCTTTTTCTTTGAAAATTTACAAGTAGTTTAAGTTAAGAAGTATTGAAAGCATCTAATTACTCGCCCAAGGTAACATTCAAATGAACGAAAATTGTACGAAAGAGGTCATCGAAACGTCACATCATAAGTCTCAACATTTCTATCTTTTCAAGCAAAAATTACGGAGGGTGACGTGCGCAATGGAATTTTTAAAAAGTAACGTTTAGGTGAAACGCACGCTATTTACAACTACAAGGGACAACATTGTTAATTACCAATTATTGGATTTAGGTGTGTATGGTATGAAGAATTATACAGATCGAGTAAAGGGGTGTTTGTAGCGTCCGAGGCAAAAGCATAAATCTTCATATCATAAGAAAGCGGAATCCAATAATTGTTTTATTATTCATTTAAAATATTTCGAAATCAAGATCTTCCTTAGCTATTACTCATCTTACAGTGCTGTGGGCAGAGTTCTGTTCCCATTGTGGCCCTTGATTTACTGCGGGATCCAAGGTCCCTATGTGGTGATGGAAAAAAAGGTGGTTCAGCAGACAACCAATACTGCGATTTTGATAAACAGCTATTTGGAGAAAGGTTGTCAGAAAAATTGTGCACGCTACAATCCCGAAAGGTAATATGGGATATGATCAATACACTGTTCCTGGCAATGTAGCTGTCGAACCTACTTTTGTTGCTATCCTTTAGCATTTGCAAACATATACCATGGCCTTCCGCGTCATTCTTTCAAATTTCTTTGAGAAACAGTTAACTCAAAACCACCCAAAATGCCTTTTGGGATTGTCGCGTGGACTTTTCCCGACAACCTTTCTCGAAATAGCTGTACACGAACAGTTGACTATTTAGGCTCGATTTCCTTCGCTCTCTCGGTCCCAGCGCGGGCTCATTTCCCCACCAGACGATAGCAGAAATCGTTTCAGAAAAAGCTTGTACCCTTTTCCATAATAGTTTCCGGAATTGGGAAATTATCAATTTTGCAGCTCGTTTGGGAGTTTTTTTTGTTATACCGCAATGGTATTTTGGAGGTAAATATAACCTCTGGTTTTAGTTTAAGTTTTTTTTTTTTTTTTTAACTTGAACTAAAAATTTTAAAGTTCAGTAATCAGCTCGGTATTGAAAAAAATAATAAAAGGGTAATGCGCAATTCAAATAACTTCTTGTTCCTCCTCGAAGACGACTTTAATTTGCCCGCCATTTTGAAAAGTCACGGAAGCGAGACATATTGGCACGAGGGCTGAACCACCGTAACTACGTTCTGGTAGTCTCCAGCCTGTTCCATGCTCAGAGACAGCTCCGAGAGGATTAAGAAAGAGCGAAAATGAAAAAAAAATCGGGAGGAAACTGCCAACTTTTCGCATACCTTTCACTTTCGTGTCTTCTCCACTAAGTCTGAGAGCCTGGAACAGTCTGCGGAAACGCCCATTGGTCGTAACAACAAGGAACGGTAGTCACATCAAAACATCAAAACACAAAACATGGAAAGGAAACATGTGCAATATCGTTTTTGCAACAGAAGTAATACAAATTTGGTAGCGTAAAGCTATATTAAAAGGGAAAAGTCAAGTTTACGAGAAATTATATTCAATAATTACACTATGAGGTCGATTTTTGTATGAGTCAATGGCAAGCTTAAGTAAAAGCGTTTTTTGAAAGCCTCCTCAACAATTTAAATCCACCGATGACTGTTTGTTCCGGGCGCGCGTTCGCCCTTGCCGGTTTGCACCACCCATTTTCGATGCGCACATGTTACATGGGCGTTAGTTGATATTTATGGATAGTTTTTGAATCACCTTTATGTCAAACGGCAATCGTCAATTTCTATCGTTGCTTATGGTTTCTTTCGTTGTTATGCATTGTGTTCTCATCGACAGATCGACTTCGAGCTATTGACTGAGGACCTTTCAAACGCTCCCTGGCATGTGGGTGAGATATTCACTGAAATCGACGATAGTATACAACTATCCCCCGAAGAGGAGGTGAATAGTGGTGGGTATACCTAGACGCGAATATATTTAGCGCTGTTCACCAACAAGCCAAAGTTCGTCGCTCTCTTGTATTTGTTTGTTGTTTGTACGAATGCTTTATTTATAGCTCAAATTTCGTCTTTCCCCCGGAAAAGTCTTGAAACGAGATGCCATTTTGGCTCCGGTTGCAAAACAGTGAATAGCCAAGGATATTCCGAGTTAAGGGAGCCAATCAAAACGCGCGAAAATTGCTATTCACCGATTTGGCAAAAACTAAAATCAATTACTGGAACGGATTGATGAATTACACAGTCGATTAGCATACACCAACTAGGAGAAAACGAGTCAGCCTGCATAGCATGGCGGTTTTGTCGGGAGCACCACTGAGAGGCGAAGCCGCAAAAAAAGCGCGCAAAATGCGCGAACTAGCGATAAAGCCGCGAGAAAAATAAAAACCAAATTGCTCCCGCCCCAATCTCCTCGCGGTTTCTCTGCCCTCTCCTGCCTATATTATTTAACGCGCCCAACCAAAACCGTCATGCTACTCAGGTTAAAAACGAGTGCGAGAATGCGATGTCCCGTGCATGACCATAGATTGGAAAAAAGCAATCAAATATCAGAGAAAGTTTATTAAATTATATGCAAGAAACAAAACAGAAGTACAGAAATGTGGCCACGAAAGAGCACAGGAAAGCAGTTAAACATTATATGGAAAACGAAATCGGAAAAGATGAAGGAAAAAACCCAAGAGATTTTTTCACAATTTTCAGCCATTCATTAGCAACAAAGCTATTGAGAATAATCCCATCAGTCCGAATACAGATGTAAATGTAATGGAGAATGATATGTTCATTGTTGCTAATTGTTTTGTAGATTACTTTGCTAACGTAGCGGACGGCAACATGTACATGATTTACGTGAGGAGGATCACCAACATCACGCAAGCATCAAGTCTTTAAACTAGAAAATATCAAGATTTAGCCTTGTATTTCAATATATTTCCAAGCAATTCCTGAAAAAGATGTGTCAGACGTTCTTGAAAACATAATTCCTAGGAAATCGCTTGGTTAGGACTCTCCTACTGTACCCATCCTCCTTAAGAAAACTGCTTCCGCTATTGCTCCATCTTTGGGGGCAACATTGAAACACTGTATTGACGAGGGCTCCTGGCCTACGAAGTGGAAAATGGAGGAATGAACACTCGTATTCAGAAAGGGAGACGTGCTTTTGATCCTATTTGCATGGAAAAGGCGCGTAATAAATTTTTAATTATTATTATTATTATCAAACAAGATAGAGAAAATTATCGCCCGATCACAGTACTTCCAGTACTTGGCAAAGTGTTCTACAATCCTCGTCACAAATCTTGAAACACTTGTGTGATTTTCGGGTCCCCAATGTTGATTTGGGTTTGCAGTCATTTCAGTGCTCCAAAATACGCTCGGCTCAACATTGGGAAAGGAGATAGGGCACATTTGAGTGAGAACAAAGGCGTGAAGAGTGAACGTGAGAAATTTGGAAAAAATCCAAGACAAATGGCTCCTGTTTCAACGATTTGTGACGAGTATGGTAGTATCTACTTCACTGAAAATTAAAAAGATCTCAGTTCAGCCCCGAAGTGCCAATTCAGCCCTGGAGGCCAAATTAAGGCTGATTTAGCCCCTTCTGGAGCCATTTGAGCACATTTAGACCAAAAGAGCTCCATCAAAAGGCTACTCCAGCCCACCCACGCATCCGTCGTGGTGTATCCAAACAATTCAAACGAATCCTTGTCTGGGAGAATGACCACTCACGCGATGCCAGTACACTTGCAAGCCAATTATTCGTCAGTTTAGTCGTTCTGACGAATAAACGTACGTGATCGTGCAATAGGAGATCCGATATGAAAAATGTTTTCCTATGTTTTACGCTGGATAAGCAAAGTATTATAGTAAATGTATCATCAAGTTACCTCCGTCCTGGGAGCGTGAACGGCGCAACGTTTCTTCCTGAACTTACTTCTTGATGGACGAAACATTCATAAAGTTCTTTGTACTGAGAGGTCTGAACACGTATTTCGTCACAGGAATCCTTAGGAAAAATCCATGTCTGGTTCGATGGCAATACCAACGTTCATAGATATCTTGCGTTTTTCGAGCTCCATGACCTCGGAGGGGGGAGGGGGAGCGGGAGGCGGAGGGAAGGGTACGGATGCGATAAAGCCGTAAGCTACAATTTTGGACAAAATGAATGGAAAACCTACACCCCCCCCCCCTTCCCCCACAATCAAAGATGGGAAAATGGCGTGTTTTTGCCCTTCGCGCGGCTTCATCCTTGATTTGGCGGGGGGGGGGG